AAAAATGTTTTTTGAAAAATGAGTTATTGAAAATATTATACTATTTTTTTTTTAAAATAAATACATTTTAAGAGTAAAGACATACAACAAATTCAATAAATATTGTGACAAACTTTTAAATGTTTTGAAATACAACAAATAATAAATGTATGATGATTACATGTCCCGTGGGACTCCATTATGATAAAAATTGGGATTTTCTTCTTCTTCTTCTTCTTCATCATCATCATCATCAACAAGAAACTCATCTGGGTTCACGGGGGGGTCTTCGGGGTCAGGTCGGGTTCCTCCTCGGGGTGCTCCTCGGGGTCCTCCTCAGGGTGCTCCTCGGGATCCATGACCCGGGGTGCCACTACCTCCTCCGGATGACCTCGCAAAGTCAAAGGACATAGATCCGAAATTCGGGGAGATCATCGGCATGCCACCGTATCCGGAGGTGGGGAAAAATCCCATACCGCCCATGTGCTGAACTTGAGGAGTTTGCTCAGGGTGGAATACATACGGGGGAGGAAAAGGCTGTGGCGGAGGCTGGAATCCGGCACGCATGAACCGTTCCATCTCCTCCAACCGGGCTTTTGTGGCCTCATCTGCTTTCCGCTGCTCCTCCCATCGCCGTTCGTGCTCCTCCAGTTCACGCTGCAGTGTAGCAATACGAGGATCTTCTCCCCGCCTTGACCGAGAAGAGGAAGCACCGGTGCTTCGATCATACAAAATCCGTTGCCCCTCGGACCCCAAGCACGGAACCCGGCCCTTGTAAACCCCGGCCGCCTCAATGGCCGCCTCATCATCCGCATCGGAATCAAGGTCGTCCTCCTGGGTCAAGCCTCGTGCCGCACGCTGCCTGTCAACGGATTCGTTGTACTTCGTCTGCATTTTCAAAAATATTTTTTAAATGCTACATACTTAGATTTGAAATGTTACTAAATAACAAAATATGATGTTACATACTTCGAAGTCAGCGAGGCGGGGTGGCAAATCGGCTTCAGATTCCTCGCCGTGCTTCGTCCAGCAATGCTTGACGAGCCGGAGAACATCAACCCTCTTCTTCTCAGGACCAGCCTAAATGGTGTGAAAAAGACTTAAGTAAATTTTTTATAATGAAGGATTGTGATGTTGTAAGGTTTTTTGAATAGCACTTACAAGAGTTTCCTTATGGGCATTCTGAGATTTACGACCTCCGTGCCACTGCATCTCCAAGGCCTTCTCGGACATCCGGTTTTTCTTACCGGATTCACTTCTAGCCAAGAATTTCGGATCAGAAGACCAGTGGCGACAAAGGTTGGACCACACTTCATCCGAAACCCATCTAGGCTTTTTCCCACTTTTTCGCGCACGTTTAAAAGTGGCGCGAAGCCAGGTCGAAATCCTAGCATTGTAGGCTTTAAGAATATCGGCACCGTTTGCGTGAGTCCAACGATAGCGAGCCTTTATTAAAACAAATTGGATTAATTAATCACCAGGTATATATTAGGCCAATACAATCAGGGAGGGAACATTCATTTATTTTTACCTTGAACAGGTTCCACCATAGTTCGCGAACCTTGGGGTCAACATCCGACAGCGTGGCCCAAGTGCCAAGAAAGTGTCCTCCGATTATGCTTTTGATGCCTTTGAACACTTGTTCGTCACTTAAAAAAATTAATAGTATTTATTTATATAAGATTTGGTTAGATTATTTAACATTATATAAAATTATTTAAAATAAGGTTTCTTCATAACTACTTACAAAAGAACATCTGCAGGGGTCACCCAAACAGCTCCTTCGTTGTTGCGCTCCGCTTCGGACATGGGCGCATAGTTAGGGCGGGGAGCTGAGGTCGATTGTTCGTTGCTCATCTAAAATATATTAATTTAATTTGTTTTTTGTTAGAACTCTTATAATAGAAGATCAAATTTTTATGTAAGTATTGTCTATTGTCAATGTATATAACATATTAAACTGGGTATAAGTTTAATATTAGGTTCCAATAATTGCTAATAAACAAATCCTATAATTATTAATGAGTTGACACAGTCGACCGAAGAATCAACCGGTTGGAGCTCATCAATGAGTTGACCCAGTCGACTCATTGATAAACTCCATCCTGACGATTCTTCAGGCTACGCCTTGAACCATGGATGGGCTACATCACATGTAGCGACATAATGTCAGTACATGCGTTTGGGAGAGTCCATCGATGACTCAAGCCGTAGCCAGAAGAATCCACAGATTGGAGCTTATCTAAGAATTGACTAGGTCAACTCATTGACAAGCTCCAACTGATCGATTCTTCGATCGACTGGGTCAACTCATTGATAAATTATAGGATGAGTTTATTAGAAATTATTGAACCACTCATATTAAACTTATACACAGTTTATTATTTTTCACTATAAAAATTTGGGGTATATTTATTATTTTAAAGTTTGGGGTATATTTATTATTTTTCACTATAAAAATTTATATAAGTATTATTAATTGAAAATGTGTATAGCATATTAAACTCTTTTTAGTTTAATATGAGGGGTCCATATTTTTTCATAATAAGTTCTTAAATAATTTGGTAATAAATTGCACTTGGAGGTAACATGTTAAACTTTTTACAAAGTTTACATGAGAGGAGATCATTTTTTTATGTTTTCGATATATCAATTTATATGAGAGGCCATCTTTTTTTTTATCAGTCATATCAGTTTGTATGAGAGGCCATTTTTTTATCTGTTTTATACACATTTACAATTGTAAGTAACATGTTAAACTTTTTGCAAAGTTTACATGAGAGGCCATCTTTTTTTTGGTGTTTAAGATACATGAATTTTATACAATTTTTATAAACAGTTTTTCAAAAACAGTTTATAAAAAAGAGTTTTAATACACTTTTTAAATAAAAAACAGTTTTTATACAAACTGTTTCCTAGAAACAGTATACTTTTTTTTCAAAAACAGTTTATAAAAAAAAGTTTTTATACACTTTTTAAATAAAAAACAGTTTTTATACAAACTGTTTTTCTAGAAAAACAGTATAGTTTAAGTTTATACAAAAAAAACGTTTTTTATAATGTCTAAATAACAGTTTTATACTTTTTTAGTTAAATTACAAAAACAGATTATATAACACAGTTTTTATATAAACAGTTTTTATATAAACAGTTTTTATATAAACAGTTTTTAATTAAATTACAATAACAGTTTTTAAGTAAACTAAATTTTCATTCAAAACAGTTTTTAAAAACACTGCATTTTTTATAAAAACTGTTTTTACAAAATCTGTTTTTATATAAAACAGTTTTTAAGTGAACTAAATTTTCATTCAAAATTGTTTTTATAAAAACAGTTTTTACAAAACTGTTTTATTTATTAAACAGTTTTTATAAAAACTGTTTATTTACCATTTTGTATCCAATTTTTACTTTTTATATTTATAAAAACTGTTTATAAAAACTGTTTATAGAAACTGTTTATAAAAATTTGCAAAATTTTAAAAACTGTTTATAAAAACTGTTTATCGAAACTGTTTATAAAATAATTTGTATACTTTTTATAAAATTTGTTTATAAAAATTTGTTAAATTAGAATTAAACATGTTAAGTTTGTGAAAGCTTAACATGAGGGGGCAAATTTTTTTTAAATATTTCGGGTTAACCATTGAGAGGCATGCATATCACACACTAATCATATATATTAAATATTAATTAATCATGCATATGAACATATATTACACATATAATAATTTAAATCATTTAAACATAATTATCATGCATACAAAACATATAAATCATATCATGCATATGAAACATATAATATTAAACATATTATATTAATTCGAAAATATATTATATGAAACGCATTAGTTCGAAAATATGTTAATCATGCATATGAACATATATTAAACATAAAATAATCTACATTTGAACATATATTAATCATGGATACGAAACATATAAAATGAAATTAACATGCAAAACTACAACTCATGCATATAATAAATCATACATATAACTTTTGAAGATTACAAAATGATATGAAACTAAAAATCATGCATCTTAATCATGGATTTGAGTATACAATCATGCATTTTTGGAATTTTAATCAAATATTACAAATAAGATGAAAAGAACACATAACCTTGACTGAGAAAAGAAGGGGCGGCGGCGGACGACGGCGGACTACTGGTTGTAGACGACGGGAACGGCGGATGCTAGGCGGCGACGGCGGCGACGGCAGATGCTAGGCGGCGACGGCGACGGCGGCGGCACTAAGCAAACTGGAAGAGAAGGAAGAGAGAGGGAAGAGGTGGTTTAGGGTTTGAGATATGGTGCGTAGGATTTTTAAAAAAAACGCTAAGTGTTTGTTTTATATAATTGTTTAGTCACGGTCATAGTCACGGTCCTGACCGTGACTAAACCCTTCGTAATTGACGATGTCAGCGAGGCGGTCAGAGCCGCCTTTAATCGGAATAGTCACGGTCATTACCGTGACTATGACCGTGACTACTTTCAAAATTTGAAAATAGTCACGGTCATAATCACGGTAATAACCGTGACTATTGTGGTCAGCGCCCCTCTGACCGTCAGGCCTGACTTCGGCATTTACGAAGGGTGTAGTCACGGTCCTGACCGTGACTACAACCGTGACTATTTAATTTATAATTTCATTTTCCTGTCACCCAAACATTTTATGCTAAAAAATGACTAATAAAGAACCAATTGACTGATATATGATGCGTACAAGAATGTGTCGTCTGAAACTATGTACACAACTTATTGAACCGAAAAATGAATAAGGTGTGGTTCTGTTCGTCTTTGTGTTAGTTATTACTTATTGTTTATTCTTATTTTATTCAAATCAGATCAGATCAGAAAAAATTCAGACATGATTTATTATTATTAATAATTATTATTATTATTCTTATTATTATTATTATATCGTTATAATAATATTAATTGTGTATATATTAATTGTGTTTATATTACTATTATAATATTATAATACCATCGTAATTGTAGTGTGGACTGTGGAGTATTAAATAAACTGCTTTGAATTTATGTGGTATAGAACAGATTAAGGAGTAATTATTTTACAAACAATAATGATGAAAGAAATTATCAAATATGCTTGGAGAAATTATATCACAAAATTGAAATTACAACAGCACAATTACTCGCTGTCAGAATCGTTATTTTCTACATATATAGTGTCTTCTTCTGTATCTGAACCGTCTATCCATTCACCTTCTTCATGATATTGAGCATTTTGTTGTGCTACATACATTTCCTCAATTTCGCGCTCAGATGGAATGGTTAGGTCCGGAAGGTGCGTTTCTGGCATGACTTCAACACGTCCGCCATTTGGATCACTTAATTGGACGTTATAGTTGACCGTCTCAACAATAGGCGGAGGTTGGAAAAATTGTTGCTGAAAAGCATCTAGATCAACGTCCTTGTGTTGAGTTTGTGATTTAATTTTGTTCGGACGGACAGGACATGCACACACCCAAGGATTCTGGGTCCGCCTTGTTGTAGGATATTCTGCATAATAAATCTGCGCTGCTTGTTGGGTGAGTATGAAAGGCTCATTTTTCGGGTACACACGAGAGTGGTTGACGTCAATCATATTATACTTCGGATTTTTTCGCACGCCACGTGTGGGATCAACCCATGTGCAGCGGAACAGAACGCATGTCATTTTTTTCGCACTAGAAGGCATCTCAAGTTCCAGAATCTCCTGCAGGACACCAAAAAAATTGGTTTCCGAGTTATCATAACCGATGGTCGGGACACATAACCCGCTGTTCGTTGTTGGTCGGCCCTCTCCGTAATCGGCTGTGTGATATGTGTAACCGTTTATCACATATTGCCGCCACACTTTGGCACTGGCACCTGGGCCCCACGCTAATGATACTAACAAAGGGTCGACAATCCCACGACTATTGATCTGTAAATATAAACATAATAATAACATTAGGTAAACATTAGGTAATATATATAATTAATGTGTGTGTATATATACCTGATACTTGTACCAATTTACAAAATCAGAGTCCACCAACGCATCAATTTCATTCTCAGGAAAGGCAGATAAAGAAGCTCGGAATTCACTGTGAAGTCAAAAATAAAAAAAAACTATAAATTAACTACAAATTTAATTTATAAGTATTACAATTATACCTACAAATTTAACTTACTGATAAAACGGTGAGATTTCTGGACAATTCATGAGGATATACGTATGCGCAATTTGCAATTCCCCACCCAGGATGTATCGTTGTGTCGCAGCACCTTTACCTCTGCCTGGGTAATTGAAGATGGAAACTACATTTTCATATAAATCCTCGCCAATGTCATCGTTCCGGGCAGGTCTCTTCCTTCTGGTGATGACCTCACGCTCGAAGTAAAAAGACGAGAACGTTGAGATTTCTTGTTGAAGATACGCTTGACAAATTGAAGCCTCAACGTGTGCCTTGTTGGTCACTTTCTTTTTCAGCTCTCCTAGAAATCTGCAATAATGCAATAATACACATGTTAACAGTTATTGTGAAATAAATATATTTTTTTAAATGAAATTGTGACTAACCTTTCAAATCTGTACATCCACCTATAGAAGACGGGCCCAGCAGTCAAAGCCTCATACGGAAGATGTATTATGAGATGTTCCATTGTATCGAAAAACGATGGTGGCATTATTTTTTCCAGATTACACATCAGAATGGGAACAGACTCTTGTAGTCTCCGGAGGGATGCCGCATCCAAAACGCTGGAACATATCGATTGAAACAACAAACTGATTTCAGTAATGCAGGACCATACGTGTTCAGGGAGCATCTCTTTTAGTGCAATTGGTAGAAGTCTTTGCATTATTACATGAGCATCGTGAGTTTTCATGCTCGTCGTCGTGGTAAGTTTGTTCATGTCTACGCATCTAGACAAGTTGGAGCAGTAGCCATCTGGAAACTTCTGAGACGCAAGCCATTTTAATATTGCTGCCTTTTGTGGTTCTGTGACCTGGTAGACTGCTTTTGGAACTTCCTTGCCCTGATATTCTAGATCAACAGAAAGTTCGGGTCTATCACACCAAATAGTCATATCTTTCCTAGCTGCAAGACCGTCTTTAGTTTTGCCTTTCAAATCCATCACCGTGTTAAATATATTGTCAAAGACGTTCTTCTCGGTGTGCATGACATCTAAATTGTGACGGATGAGAAGGTCTTTCCAATAAGGCAACTCCCAGAATATGCTCCTCTTTGTCCACTTATGGGTATCACAATACCCATATGGCTCTTGGTTTGGCTCTTCCATAGCCGTAGGAAAACGTCGAACCCGGTTATAAATTTCTTCACCGGTCAATCTCGGGGGTGGGCTCTCTCGTACCGCTCTGCCTCTAATGAAAGACTTCTTGTCCTTTCGATATCGGTGCCTTTCCGGGAGAAACTTGCGGTGACAATCAAAGTAACTTCCTTTTTTGCTGTAACTGAGCCAGTTGGCACCTGATTTCTCCATGCATATCGGACATCCCATCAGACCGTGTGTGCTCCATCCCGAAAGCATGCCATAGGCAGGGAAGTCGCTAATGGTCCAAATGATGGCAGCTTTCATGATAAACATTTTATCTGATGAAACATCATAAGTTGGTGTCCCAACGGCCCACAATTCTTTCATCTCCTCAATAAGGGGTTGAAGATAAATGTCTATCTTTCGCCCAGGATCCTTGGAACCCGGACAAATTAAAGACAAAAAGATGAAATGACTTTTCATGCACATGTCGGGAGGGAGATTGTAAGGTGTTAACATGACCGGCCAACATGAATAGTTCTTGCCAAACCTGCCAAAAGGAGCAAATCCATCTGAGCACAATCCCAGCCGCACATTTCGTGGCTCCATAGCAAACTGAGGATGACAGCGGTCAAAGTGTCTCCAGGCTTCACAGTCCGAAGGGTGAGCCATCATACCCTCGTTGGTTTCGTGCTCAACATGCCATGTCATGTGTTTCGCAGTAGCAGTCGAAGCGTACATCCTTTGCAGTCGAGGAGCTATTGGGAGGTAATACAGTTTAGACAGTGCAGACCTATGTCGTGGTTTCTTTTTACCTTGACGAACAGGTTTGTATCTGTCTCCACCACAGAACTTGCAGAACTCAAGTGCCTCATCCTCCTTCCAAAACAACATACATCCTTCCGGGCACGCATCAATTTCAACACAAGGTAGCCCCAACTTAGACATTAACTGCTTCATGTGGTAATATGAATCGGGAAGGGTATGATCTCGCGGTAGCATCCCTCCTACTGACTGCAAGACTCTATTCATGCAAGTTTCAGGGAGACTGTATTCGGCTTTTATGTTCATGAACTCAGTAACAGCGGATAGCTGAGAGTATCCCTCACAATCAGCATACAGAGGTTGGTCGACAGCTTTTAGAACATCCTGAAATCTCTCAGCCAAACCTTCATCCACATAAGGTTGATAAAATGTCGGATTTTCATCCGCATCTGGTTGATACGAGGTTGAGGCTTCAGGGGGGTCGTTAGGTGGTTGTGGGGGGTTGAATTGAGACGGTACACCGTATGCGTCATATACCATTTGTTGGTCCCACCTCATTTCAGCACGGTCTCCCCACGCACTCATCTCTGGAGGGACGTAACGAGACGAACCTACCGTTTGTGGTATAACAGATGGATCCAAAGGTTCGCCGTGAGAAGTCCAATTATAATAATTGGGAACAAAACCGACCGCGTACAAATCATACCCAACTTCGTGTGGGTCTTTAAATTTGAGATTTTTACACTTTGAACATGGACATCTTATTTTATCACCACTCATATAAGCCGGATGTTCAAGTGCAAATTCAATAAATTCCCCGACTCCCTCGAGAAAATTTGATTGCATTCCGTACAATACCGCATCTTTATCATACATCCAACTTCTATTTTGTTTATACATTATGCCTGAATATTATAATAAAAAATTATATGAAATGCAATGCACACAATTTTAAGTAATTTATTTCACTAAATATAATCAACTAATTTTCACTTTTTTAAATGAAATGCACAGAATTCACAACAATAATGCACAAAATATATGTCCCCTAATGCACAATAATGCAGATAATTTCACTAAATTAAACATACGTTTAATTAAATCTAACTAATTCATTTAGTTAAATTTAACTAAATTTAACTAGTTCATTCCGTCCCCTTTTAATGCATCACTACGTTTAAACCTACGTTTAGCTACCTAATTTAACTTAATTAACACATCAATAGCTACGTTCAAACCTACGTTTAGCAAACGAATTTTAATTAAATTATTTTTGTAAACCTACGTTTAGTTTAAACCTACACTAAATTATTACGTTAATGACATTTAATCTTATTAGTAATACACAATTAACAATTCACTAAATTAAATAATATGACCAAATTCAACCCAATAATTTGAACATGTATATAAAGTTATTTGAATTAATAAGCAATACACAATTCACAATAACAATTCACAATTCACTTAATTAACACATTACTAACGTACGTTATTTGAACTAATTTCACTAAACATAAACATCATTACGTTTTAAACTACGTACATTTAGCTAACTAATTTTAATTAAATTATTTTATAAACCTAAAAGTTTAACTAATTCTAATTTATGACATTACTACGCTTATAGTTAAAACATGTTGTTAATTAATTAACAACCTCACTAATTTAATAGTTTTAATAATTTAAATTGAACCAACTAATTCTAAATAAAAATTATAATTCAAATAACATACCTTATCTGCATAAACAGGAAAAATGATAGAAGATAGACTACATCCTTCGATCTTTCAAACGGATACTGTATATACTGGGAATGAATTGCTGTGGTTCTGTTCAATGAGCTGCTCCTGCATATATAAAAAATTTAGTCACGGACTTAGTCACGGATTTGTCCGTCACTAAGCAAAACCGTGTCCAATACGCGTCCAACACGTGTTAATGACGTGTTAATGACGTGTTAATCAAATTAGTCACGGAACTAGTCACGGATATGGCCGTGACTAATATTATCCGTACATAATACCTTTGCGCATTAAGTTAAGGGAGTTGAAAAAATTAAAATTTAATTATAGTCACGGGTATAGTCACGGATTTGGCCGTGACTAAGTCGTCGGATTGAAATAAACTTCGCCGGAAACGGAAACGGGCCAATCGGAGGACTTAAGTCACGGGCCCAGACCGTGACTAACATTAGTCACGGTCATAGTCACGGTCTAGACCGTGACTATTTTTTTTTTTTAAATATCCGTGACTAGTCCGTGACTAGACCGTGACTAAACTAGTCACGGACCAAATCCGTGACTAAAATCCGTGACTATAACGATGTTTTTTTGTAGTGATATCAATGTCCTCGACATGTTGGAATAAATTCTCAAAATAGTCTCTCACGATTCCTCCAACACTGTCTCTATCAGTAACCCAAGATCCATCCTCTGTTCTTAAACCGCATTATGGAAAAATCGAGAATTAATATCCCCCTCTTTCAGCCAGAATTCTTTAGCTCTCTGCTTCCAGTAAATATGCTCTTTTTCCATCAGGGACTGAATGACTGATTTGATCCTGGTAAACTCGGCCAAGCTAGCCATGTCATCCTGCCCTCTCTGCCAAACCAATCTTTTTTGCAAGCAACAATTTGATGCTGAAAACCCTCCGGCCGTCGACTGTCCCACCAGAGCAATTCCTTACCACAAAAAATAATTCTCTCGCTAACCGAAACAAAAAAATCTTCAAATAAAACCCCGCGCCGTCGGATGAAACAAAGCCTGAACTTGCCCTGAACGTAAACCGACAACCGGGGAGGAAGAGTCGGCCGAGACCGCCGGAACCCACGGTCGAAGACGACCGCCGCCGGAAAGAGACTAGGCTAAACCTAGAGAGAGAATTATGTAACTTGGTTTCCCTTACGCGGTATAAATGTGCAAGTATAAAATGATATATTATTGCTTCATACTACTCTATATTAGATTCCATATATAACATGTTTTATAAAGTATTTTTCTAATGGAAAAAATAATAAAAATACCCCAAACTTTGAAGGGGTGTGAGGTAAGCACTCCAAACTTGCATTTGTAATTTAAATACCCCAAACTTTATATAAAATGTTATTTTCGCACCATTTTCATGTATTATTTCTTTCAAAAATGTAAATTTATGGGATTAATTGCATAATTTGAAATAGAAAAATAAAAGTGTTGCAATTATATAGATTGGGGGTAATGTTATTTCTTTCTCAATGGAAGTTTAAAATGCTAATTGTGCCTTCAGGAATTCTAAAATATTTTAAATTATGCAATTAACACCATAAGTTTACATTTTTGAAAGAAATAATACTTAACTATGGTGCTAAAATAACTTTTTATTTAAAGTTTGGGGTATTTAAATTACATATGCAAGCTTGGGGTGCTCATCTCACACCCCTTCAAAGTTTGAGGTATTTTAATTAT